TCACCCAAACCTTTTGTTTCTGAGCTATTCAAACTGTTTTCAAGGGTGGTACTGAAGTTCACTTGGCTTGCTGTGTTGAGGAATTGCAACATCTATGCCAAGACCGCCCTGTCACAAGTAGTTCAGAACTTCATGCCCTCCAAGACGACCACAAGTCTGTCCCAAAAAATGCATCTAGCCCCACTGGAGGCTAGAACAATGATGGCAGAAAACACAAGAGTTGTTCTAATCACTGGGTAGAGCCCAGTAGAAAGCCTATTCCACGGCAATAGCAAATAAGTCACTCTTGCATACCATAATTTACCATCACAAGCAACTGAAAACCTTCAGCACCATAACCAATTACTACTACCAACTCAGCTAAACATATGCAGTAAACACGAAATACCAGTAAAAACCTATACCCTTTCCTATCAAAGTTCCTATTAAAGTTGAAGAATATTCAACTTTGATAGGAAGTAGCAAGAATCTATAAGCATCACTAAAAGCAATTACTATTAAGAAGAAGAGTAAGCAACATACCCTTTAATTTCAGCCCCGCTGGGCGGGACTCTGCCTCTCTCGCGTGCGCACACGACTCCACCCCATATGCACTGGGTTCCATCGTGACCAGAATCTCACACAATTGCTACATGGAGAGCTGCGCAGAGGGAAGCAGAGTCGTACAGTACATGCGCACCCAGCTTACCAGTAAGGTTTATTTTTATGTTAATGTTAATAAGCAAAGTAAATCACACTAGAGTTAGGCCCACTGAATTAATGGGAATTTTGTAAGTCAGCTCCTCTATAAGTTCTAGAGATTCAAATGGGCCTCCTGCTTAAAATGATAAAATAAGTCAGAGGAAGCTCATTTGAATTCATGGAATCTACAGAGATGACCCAACTCCACTGATTCAATAGGCCTACTCTAAAGTTATTTACTATGCTAAACAACAGGATTTTTGTGTGTTTATTTTCCTTTGGCATCTCAAACAAATATTAAAACAACCAAATTAGCTTTCAATATGCAGTTTCATATTTAAGTATTTTAATACATTTACTATGTATTTTTACCAGCTCAAGCTCCAAAACATGTCTATCAAATTAATAAGCAAAATAGCGATAAACTTTAACCAGCACTGAAGTTAAAGCATAATTCTTTTCAGATCACAACAAAAATCTTACTAAAAACAATTACACTTTTGTAGTAAATTATTTAGGAGTCAGCAGAAGTAGTGACCATCACAATGGAGGGGATGGTATATCAACATATACCAGTAATCATTCATAGAGTATTAAATCAATTGGATTTGAATGGCTGAACAACATCCCATTGATTTAAATGGATCTGCTTTTTAGTATTGCTAACTCTCGATGCAGTTCAGGACTGCAGCAAAAAATGCTGGAATAGCTCTGCAAAGCACTTCTCTGTTCAATGATTCTGACTTTATATTCTTGCTTCGTAACTGATAAATGCCTCTTGCAAGATCCTGAATATACACTCACACTTCACAAAATGGAACACACAATCAGACTACGAAAACCGTATTAAAATAAAAACAATAATGCAAGACTGAATTTAGTAATCTCCTCACAGAATTCATTTAAGCTATTCTTCCAAAAGAAGGAACAATCTACCAGTACAGAGGATAGGCCAGTGGAGGAACATGTGTACACTACTTTTAACTACCAGCTCCTCCTCCTTTCCTCTCTCAGAGGGAAGTAGGGGCAAGACTTAAAGGGGTAAGGAGCAATTTAGCAACAGCAACAGAAAAGGTGAAAGTTGCCAGTCACAGCTACCTACTAACAAATCCTATCTATTTAATAATTTTACAGTGTGCATTATGTCACAAGTAACCACATGATTGAAACTAAAATGTTACATTTTGTTAGTCTTGCCACAGTCCTGGCACAAGCATTATAAAGACCTTACTGCAGGGGTCACAAACATACAGCCCGGGGGCCATCTGCAGCCCGCCAGATGATAGTTTGTGGCCCCCGCCTTGCCTGCCCCCTGAAGCAACCACACGTCCTCTGCTGTCAAGAGTAAAACAAAAAAAGCCTCGCTTCACTCGCGGGCTCTCTCCCAAGAAAGCACCAGCTGGCAGGCTGTAGTTTCGGATGGAGGGTGCAAGAGGCATTGTCTTGGGGGAAAGCCGGCAAGCAAAGCGCGCAGCCGGCCCTTTTCCCTGCTGCCGCCGAACGATGCCTGAGAGTAGAGCTCACTCCCAGACCGTCCTTGAAGAATGCCTCCAAGCTGCCAACAGCAGCTGCTGCTGCCACCGCCTCTTCCAGGGAAGCGGCTCTCTGACTCTCTCTCTCAGCACCCCCAGCACCAGCCCGGCCAGTGGCCGCCTCAGTGCCCGGCAGTGCTTCCTCCTCCTCCTCCTCGTCCTGCTTCAGCCGCCTCGGCTCTGGAGGATGCCTGGGCTCGCTTTGCAAAGTTTGCTCCTCTATCGTGTTGGGGGTAGCTGCTGCTGCTGAGTGTGCCTTTTTTGAGGGAAGGCCCTCAGAGGAAGGTTGCTGGACCTGTGTGTGTGTTTGTGTGTGTGTGCACGCGCGCGTGTGTGCATGTGTGTGTGCACGCACATGCGTGCGGGTGCCAATGGGGGCTTTTCTCCTTTGGCAAGGTGTTTCTGTGAGGGTTTTTTAAAAAAAATTAAGTCGTGCCCTCCCCTCCCCTGGCTAGGCGGTAACTGGCGCTCCCTCCCTTCTCCGCTTCTTCGTGCTGCTGCTGGTGGTTCTAGTGAAGAAGGAGCAGGAGGGGGTTGTGGCCGGCAATGAGAACTTGCACGCCCCTCCTTCTCCTCCTCGGAGCCCCAGACGGGCTAAGGAAACTCCTGGGCGGCTTCCTTAGGCTCTTGCTCTGCTTGGCGGAAAATCTGATGTGGCCCAGGGTCACCCAGACTCTGCCTCCAGCGGCCCCCAGGTAAATTGAGTTTGAGACCCCTGCCTTACTGTATACAAAAATGAGTTTCCTCATCCATTAGTAATGCAGATGAAGTTACTCTCTCATTTCGTAGACTATAAAACTGGTAACGAAAGGATAAAAAGGATGCATGTTGTGCAAAAATAAAACATAACCATGGTATCTGATAAACCAAGGTACTACTTTCCTTATAAAATTAGAGGAATGGCCAAAACACAACTGAACATTTTTTTTCTTGCTGACCATAACTAAATATAAAGAGCATGTTACAAATATACAGCAAAGCTAATCAAATGAAAGAAAGAAGAGATACACAAAATACAATAATCAAAACAGTGATCAGTATAAGAAGAGCTTAATCTTCTGAAATGCAGCACAATGGACAGCTGGCCTGAAGGGTTATTAGCCAGTGCACAAACAGTATGAGCACTTTAAAATATGTGGGAAATGTGATCAAATGTGCAGGGTCAGAATGTTTTAAAAAAATAAATAAATCAATGGGGAAAAATGATCCCATTATAATGAAAAAACAAAGCACTATTGGCATTCATTGCAAGGGGCTGGAAAAGCTAAAGACAGCGTAGAAGACAGTCTGTAGCTTCTGCATTTCACCCCACCCCGGTATTCTTGGTGCCTGATAAAAACTGCTGCCTGAAGTCAGTGGCAGAAAACTGTGCTTATTATCTTAAACAAATGACCTATTTATTGCTATATGCCTGAGCTGGTGGAGGTGAGACTGTATGTTACCAGTCAATATTGTCTGCACTGGTTTTACTGGTTCAGTGTCCACTGACACTATGCCACCTGTAACTGTTTCTGTCCCATTTTTCAACTGTTCTAAATTCTGTTTATTCGCAATTTGGTCACAGTCTTCTGAAGTGTGTTACACGAATAAATAGATGTTGATGGAAGCTGCAGCTAAATACCCACTTACCTGGAAGTAAAACCCTACAAAACTAAATTGGAATTACATCTGATTAGTTATGTATAAGAGGGTACAATAAGTCTGCAAACACAACACAGACATGCACTAAGACCAGATGTTTTAAAAAATATACATCACACATATACAACTGTCATGAACCTATTTACGTGAAGGAGCCAACGATCAGGAAGTACTTTTCAAGTAGCCAAAGAGCCACCATGTCCTAATTTCAACTGTTATAAAATGGTGTTTCAAAACCAAAACATCACATACAAAGATTTTCAGGCAGGGAAGCAACACTAAGGCTACTTCAAAAACACCTTAAAAGAATAAAGATCAATGAAATGTATGCAGAGTCTGGGTGGCTAATTCCACAATTATCTGTGTATTTACTTGGAAAAAAAGTCATATCCAATTAACCATGGCTTGCTTCCAAATAATAATACACAGGAGTGGGATCATACATTTATTCTAAGAAAGCCATACTACCATACCTATATACCAAAGGTGATCAAAAGGAAAGCATTCTTGTCATATGCCTGCACCATACACATTCATACTCTAAATCAAAAAGGAACATGGTTATATCAAAAGAGCAATCAGATACGCCTAGAAGACACAGTTCCTAAAGCAATATTCTCTGTTTCTATGAAGTGCTGGTCAAGTAATTAACTGTCAATATTTCATAATCAACTTATTCATATCTCACTTCTATGAGTTATTTTTTCCTTGTATGTACATTCCAGCTTGTAGTAATTGACAATTTTAATACACAAGTTGGATCAATTAAAAATGTTCAAGATGTTAAATGAAGTACAACTTCTTCATATCATCTATTAAAACACAACAGCAGTGTTCCTACAAAATTTGATGTACAGTATTTTGTTAACCTGCAATTATTACTGAAATACAATTGATATTTAAAAATAATAAATCAAATCCGCTAACCACCGTAGTGGATTCACATTAAACCCTTACCGGACAATTTATTCTTACCAGATTTAAATAGTTTGTATTTTTCCAAAATGTCTCCGTTCTTCTAAGGATTTCACAATATATTCATGATCTCATTTACACTGGTCCAACTCCGAATTTAAGAATTTTATTAGAATTCAAGCTCTCAAAGACAAGATAAGTACTGTATGATCTCCCAATACCCAGAAATACCTGATGGCAGGACTGTAGGGGCTGCGAGAACGATGCCAGCTGCTGTATGGGCTCGGTGAAACATCCCCACCACGCTCGAAGGAACTGTGTCGGCTGTAGTTGGGTGACCGACGGCGGTAAGGACTAAGCGAAGACCGTGGACTAAGCGACTTACGATTCCGCTGGCTCTGAGAGACCCTATGGCTTGGCGGGCTATCATCCCGGGAAGGACTGGGGGACGATCTTTGCCGCCTGTAAGCCCGGGGCTCGGCCTTGTCCTCCCGGTAGGCCTTGGGCGGTTCCTTATACGCAGAGGGCGGCTCTTTGCCCGCTTTCGTCCGGCTTCGGTGGCCTTTATTTTCCCGATCCTTCCTGCTGCTGCTGCTGCTGGGCGAAGCAGCTGCACCCTTCCTGCGGCCGTCGCTGCCGCCGCCGCTGCTGCTCCGAGGACCCTCTCGGTCCTGGCCGCCGCTGTGGTTGTGGCGGCTACGGGACTTGGAGGAAGAAGAGGAAGCCTCGGCTCCCCTCCTGGCAACCGCGGCCGCCCCTTCCTGCTGCGGCGGCACTTTGTCCTTGTCCTCCCCCCGCCT